TACTTAACTAACCTCCCTGCCCCCCCCAGTCCCTAGTTTAAACATTCCTCAACTGCTCTACAAATACGCCTTCCCAGTACACTGGTTCCCCTCCGGTTCAGATGCCACCCATCCGGCTTGAACAGGTCCCACCTGTTCCAGAAGGTCCTCCAGTGCCCCATAAACCTAAACCCCTCTTTCCTACACCATCCTTTTAGCCACGCATTTAATCTCCTTATTTCAGCTAACTTAGCCTGACTTGCGTGTGGCACGGGTAGTATTTCAGAAAATACCACCATGGACGTCCTGCAGAACAGCCCTTCTACCCTTGAACTAGTAGTTATTAGAAATAATCCATAGTTAGTACATAATTCCCAATGAGACCAGCAATATTCAATAGTTCCTAATGAAGTAATAGAGAACTACTATAATAATTAGTTCACTATTACCTATTGAGTAATTAAGCATAACTCCTTAGTAGTTAATAGTACCAATTTAGGTGTTAATGAAGCGCTACTCCTTTGTTGCTGCTTACTTCCTGCATATTTACCTGTTAACTAAGGAACAGTATTATAAAGTGTTACCGAAATATTTAATGCTGATAATTATTCTAAATAATTCTGCTTAAATTACGAGAAGTCCCTGGAGAAGACCGATGGAGCCGCTTGCACACGTAAAAAAGAGGGACGAGGGGGGAAAAAAAACAAATCTCACCTGCTCACACTTCGTAACACGGAGCGACAACTTCCTTTCCCCGTCAGCTTTGTGGCCGCAGGAGTGCTCGCCGACCGCTGAAATCCACTGGTGCACCAAGCAACAGAAAGGTAATGATCACAAAAGGCAGATATTTCTACATATATCGGTAACCCCGTGACTAATTAGAGGGGCATTAGAGCAGGCGACAATAGGCGCGGAGAGCCCGGACGCAAACACACTCACGAGGGATTCCCCGAGGAATACCAGCAACCTGGCTGCCAAGCTACCAGAAAGGTACTATATAAAGATGTCCTATTACGTTTTCAGAAGCCTGACGTACGAGTGTCTTTCTGTTTTATGTCAGAAATAATCGGGGGGCGGGGGGTGCTTCTCTGAAACCGAAACTACAAGCGTTGCACAACTGCTGGCGTGTAATAGTCATGTCTTAAATGGCACAAAGGGCGTCATAACAGGTAAGTACTGATATAGACCAAGATAAGCAGACCCTGTCACACGTTGAATGTCTCTTCAGGCCGCAGCTCAACCTGACATACGCCAGCATCCCTGTACGCCACCATGCCACCCCTCTGCTCCGGGTGCTTTCCCCATAAATCCTTTGATCTGTGTTTCAACAGCGTGATGCAAAAGTTCAGGGCATGGCTTTCATCTGTTTACAAGGCTCTCGGATTTCATCGAAAGTTTGGAGTTTTTTTGTCCGGTAGGGGGCTATTATCGATGTATAACTCGGGACAGTTATGAACTCGGCGGAAAACCCCTCAGTGTTCATGCGCATCGTCTAATGATTCTATATAACACTTTAGTTATCTCTTCTCAACGTGAGAAAGTGGCGTGTGAGCGTCTGAAATGCCTGAGACTTGAGAGCCCTGTGTTTAACCGGAGAATGTGTTGCATTACACAGAGTTCCATAAATATTATCTATATATATATATATAATCGTCCTTATGTATATATCTTTTCAAAATAAAATGTATTGCATTATACACATAGTTGCATAAATATTGCCCAAATAACATACGTATTTCAGTGACACTCGAAAGGTCAATGATTAGCTGAGGCGCAGCGACAGGCAATGGCCTGGGGCCCTGAGCTGGGGTTATGCATTTTACCATGCATTTTACCATGCATTTTACCATGCATTTTACCATACATTTTACCATGCATTTTACCATGCATTTTACCATGCATTTTACCATACATTTTACCATGCATTTTACCATGCATTTTACCATGCATTTTACCATACATTTTACCATGCATTTTACCATGCATTTTACCATGCATTTTACCATGCCTGGGGAGGAGGAGTTGCCATACCAGAAGGAGTGTCCCTAGAATCGCATCTGGTGAATTGTATGACAATCAGAAAAGCTGGTTCAGCGGCTGGTGAAAATAACTTTGTCCTTTAAAGTAATCAGAGATTAATATTAAATATAGTCCAAGCAAGGGAATTTATAATTAAACATGCACGCAGTGGCTAAAAATTAAGTACATATATTTAAAATGAACATACAAGGCTAATATTTTCTCAGTGAGTGTTGTACTATAAAATGCTGAAGCTCAAAGTGAAATATGATGCTTCACTTCACCCTCGTTTTAATTGTAAATGTACAGCGACATCTAGTGGAAGTGGAAGTGCACCTCTCCCCCTACATTTTTATGTCAGCGGGAATTTCACTAAGACCTAAAGAAGAAGAAGAAAAAAAAAAAAAAAAAAAACTAGACTCTCAAGTGGCTGGCTTACAAGTGTTCAGGAATGAATACCAATGGCTCAGCACCGGATGGAAGAAGTCGGAGTTGCAGTAACTCATCAAAAAGCAGAAATAAACTGCCATCAATCTGCCACTAGGGGGAGACCAATCCAGACCCATGCTTAACGGGAATGGCAAAAGAGCTTGAAGATTACAATGCAGAACATGAATAGCAAATATCCATTTAAATGGAGAATAATAAACAAATGACATCAGTATTTTCTTAGAGGGCTCTGATAACCCTGCTGAGAGAAGCTGAAGGTTGACAGGCCAAACAGGATTTATAATGGATTAGATTCTTCTGGGAGTAATAGAGATGAGCATCGGAGAACTGCCTCACACAGAGATCAGACACTGGGGAGGGTTCTGAATGCCCCCACCCCCCCGACTCTGTCACCCGACACACAACAAGAAGTATGGGCTGGGGGGCCAGGCAGAGGAGATCAAAACGCTGTCTGGGTGTGAGAACGAGTCAGAGAGCAGAGCGCTGATTTAGGAGTACGGCTTCCCATTGACAGTGTCTGGGGGAGTGTTATTCTGTGGGGTGGGGGGAGTGCCCAGCCCACTGAGGAATTACTCACTGTGAGGTTAGACATCAGCTCCAGCATGTTCGGCTAAAAGCCAATAAGAACAGGAGGGGTCTCCAGCTCCTATTCAACGATTGTGGAAATACTTCAGGCCAAAAGTATAAGCTTAAGTCTACATTTGCAAATGGCGTCCCCCAATGGTAAAGCTTACATTATCAGCTGATGCGTACTTAGCCGATCCATGTTGCCTCCCCAGGCTGTGAGTTAATGTAGCTGGGTTTTACCTGCTGGTCTTCACCTGCCCCAGTGCACCTAGACAGAGGTGTATGCGGGGGCAGGACCATAGGGGAACTGACCAATAGCTGCGAGCTGATAGGGGAACGGGCAGGGCTGGGGACCAGTCACTCAGATTCAAAAATGGCCCTTCTTATGCCCCGCACCATAAAATATCCTAGAACCGGCCCTGCCCCTAGGTAGATAGGTATCCAAAATGGTGGTTGATGGAGAGCGTGGCAGATATAGGGTACTGAGACAGGCCAGGGCTGCCTACGCAGGCCTCAGACACCACAGGAAAACATCCTCATTCCTCGCTTTCATCGAGAGGGGCTAGACTGCCTAACCTTTAGTTTAAGACATCTTTCAGGTCTCCTAGGTTCGCATTCAATTCACAATTCTCTCTCGATCTCTATCAAACCCGAAGCACCTGAGGTCGTAAGCGTTGCGGCATCCTGCTCCCTCCTTCCGCTCCGCACAGCCCTGTAACCCAGAACATTTAGAGAAACGGCCAAACAAGATGAACCGATTTGTTTTAGAACAATTTTAAACATATTTTTAAACAGGAAAAAAATCTAAGCACATTGTTTATTAAATGTCTTCCAACAGCGTACCCAGAGGACAGGGAAAAATCGTTGAGCATCTCTGCCTGCTAAAGAGAAATACCCAAGAGATAGAATGGAAGTGATTCCAACTCAGTAGATCAACAATCACCTCGAGCCCAGTTAAGAGCCTGTTGTCTTTGTTTATCACCACTCAAGCTATCCATTGGTATTCACCCACATGGTTTGGGGGTCTCCTGTTGGCCACAATCAATCACCCCCCTAAATAGGCCTAAGTATATTCCTTAATTAGGAGATGCTGAAGCAGCATGTTCTGCTAACAAACTAGCAAGCTAGTCTTTCAACTCGCTAACTATTTATTTAGGTTTTGAAATACCTGAGGGGGCGCTGGGGCCACCCAGAAACAACGAACCCACATCTGGCTGGAGCAGCAGGATCATCCCACCATGCAGGAGAGATTTAGAGGAAGTGACATCACTGACTCTAGAGGAAGTGACATCACTGACGATGCCCTTGAAGGCCAAGGTGCACTGCTACGGAGGCAGCTCCACAAGAACCGCGGCCGTCGTGCAGAACAAAGGGCAACGAGACGTTTCGCTTTGCCACAACTTGAAGCTACTCTGCCTCCTGGCGTGCAGCCAATGGGGCTGTACGCAATGGCACAAAGGCTGAGACTCAGACAACGGTCCTCTATGACTCACCTTCCAATTGGTGCCAGCTGCCCAGAAGCGTTCAGAGGGAGTAAAAAACTCATGATACTCCCTTGTATAGACAAGTAGGGCAGAACCTATGCCAAGCCATCAAGGGAACATGTAGCCTGGCCCATGTGATTTAATGATTTTCTCTTCCTGCTCAGAGGAATGTTGTGCCCAGGGATGTTCTGGAAGGACAGAGAGGGAGAGCACAGCACACTCAAGGGTCTGAATTCTGCCGTAATGGCCACTTTTCAGGCCAATGCGCTTCGCCGGCGTTTTAAACCTTCCCTGCTGCAGAGACGGGATCACCAGCCTGCTTCCAGTACATCCCTCCCCCCACTCTGACCAAATCCATCACCATCAACAATTATCAGAGCTGCCTTGCGCAAGAAAGGAAGATCCAGGTAAACACCCCCTACCACCAGCCAAGCTAATTCGCTTGTTCTCAAAATGTTCTTTAATTGCCTCGCCAGCTGCGAATCATAGCCATTACGAAGCCCTCCTCTGCTCCTTCCACCTCCTCTGCTCCTTCCACCTCCTCTGCTCCTTCCACCCTACAAAAAAGTGTGAGCAAGCCCTTCCTGTCTGGATACCCAGCCATTCCTGGTAGTCTTTCCTTTAGGCACGTTCGATTTAATTACTCACGCAGCTGGTCCATTAGCCAAACCTGAAACTCTTCGTTAAGTCGTCGAGACCCTGATCAGGATTGGAAAAGGTTGAGACTGGGTAGTGTGTGGGCTTTTGGAAGAGTTTTGTAACATCAACTGGCCAATCTGGTACTTTGGTTGGAAAAACACAATGTCATAAGCAATGTAACACTGCGCTCTCACTCACATCAGGGTCAAAACTGGAGAAGCAGCATCTTCTGGAAAACAAAGTTTAAGCTTGAAATCCAAATTTCATAACTGATTAAGCAGTACAGCGTGACGGAGAAGCTGCAGCCCACGCCACAAAGCACAGGACACATGGGAGAAGGTACCAGCCCATCGCTGAGGACACACACATCCAACAGCATTCATGGGCACAAGGATTAATTTGGGCATCAAGGTCTGCGCAGGATTACACAAACATTCACAACTTTACTGGCTAATTATCTCAGGGAAAATGTTAAATAGCTGGTAAATTCAACATGTTTTTAAGCCTTTCCCCAATAACACATCAACTGCACGGGTTGTTAATCTGCAGGGCCCACTAGAAGCAGATTAACCCGATACAGACATTGTGAAACGGCACTTTACGTCAGGCTGTGCGATCAGCAGTTTCCGAGTGATATACAGCATAGCCAGCATTCTAAAATTACCATGGCATTAATCAAAGCAGAGGCTTCTGAGAGCCGGGCACGTTGATTTCTGCTACAGACCATGATTAAGAATAGATACTGTATGACCAACAAAAATACGAGACATTAAGAAATTAATAAACATATGGTTCGCTTTTATTGTAAATATATTTAATACACTGGACTTTGCACTGCAAGTCCTGTCGAGATACAAATATATATTCCTATATATATAAACTACCATCATCTTTTGATTACCCCAGGGTTCTCTGTGCACAGAACATTCGGCATGCTCTGATTATTCACAAGACTGATTGTAGCTGCTCTAAATACTTAGCAGCCATGTTTCCTGTTCGATCTGGGATATGAATACCCCAGTCAAAGAAAAAGAAATGGACATCAAAAATGAAAAGCAGCACAAGTTCATTTACGCTGGCCTATTCCCAAGACGCCGGCCTCTATGTTAGCCTGAACCATAGAACTTGTTTAATACCTAGAATTCTACCCCTAGTGGCCACTGCAGGGGCATGACTGCACACAGGCCCTTCAGTCATACAATCTGTGTAGTTTAAAATTTCTTACTTCTTACTTTGAAACATTATGATTGGCTAGCTGCCGAAACGAGACATCTTTTTGTTCATTAACTTCATCAGCTTATTTTAAATAAACTAAAAGCTGCCAAATAAAAATGACTGATACAATGTACTTCACAAGTGAATGAGAAATGCCTTGTCGCTACGTTTATGATCCAGAAACTTTACACTGCTTTCCAGCCACTGCGGGGCGTCTTTGATGCGTGGCTGATCGCAGACAGCTCTCAGCCAATCAGAAGCCAGTGCGCGTAGAGACAGTCAGAAGGTATGTCCAATCCTAGGGATCACATGATTTCTGTGGATCTAACGAGAGGACAGCAGGCATACAAACCCTGGGCTAAACAAAGTCGTCAAACTGGGTGAATCGCCGCTCTGTGGCCTGTCTGCCACATTCGCTCATTCTCAAGCAGAGGAACGAGCAGTCAGTCATCTCTTGGTGTATTTGATTTCAATGGGAGGCGCATCTCCGTGCGCGCTATACGTCTCAAGATTAACAAGTGATGAGGTCACAAAGAAGGTCCCCGTGGTTTGAATGGAATTTGCATTCCAGGAGGACATTGTGAACCGACCGTTCCGCCTTTGCAGAATCTAAGTCTGGTAACATACTTCATCCTAGATCTGCGTGGCAGTTAGACCAAGAGAGCAGCCCTTCACTCCTGCATTTTACACTACAATAACCCACTGCATAATCTACGCAAAACCAGCTGCTTCCAATGAGTTTTTTTTTTCCCATACTTCTTAATTTTCAAATATCTAAACGTGTCCTTAGACTTCAAAACCGTTTAGAGTCAATATATAAAAAATATATTTATACATATATTTTTATATATAAAAAATTTAAATGAATTTGGGATATAAATAAAGACACTTCACATTGAAACATTTTTTTTTTTTTTTAAAAGTGAGAAAACCCAAGACAAAAAAAAAAACATTCATTTTTTCAAAAAATACAAGTGGGGAAAAGTGCACTAGAGCAAATGGAAGCACAATTAAATCAAAGAAGCGCTTCTTACATAATGACCCAACACACCTGAAGAACAGGTCTGACTCATATCTGTATTCATACCAAGATATTTCCTGATGACGGGCTCTGACGTTTATGCGTGGGGGGGTGGGACAAGTATTTCTCCTGTAGATCGTCTAGAGATTGCCTGGGCCATTGTTTTATGTGAAGGGCTAAATGCAAGCTTTTGTCCCATGAAAGCTACAATAGATGATGTTCTTTAGTTTAAGAGGCTCACTTTTAGGTGCCAGTATGAAGTAGCAGCTGTGTTTGTGATTATTCATGCGACTTGAACATAAATCCTTACCCATCTCATTTTATTTTAATGACTGGAGGGGCAGTAAGGGTAAGGCCCAGGTCCAATCCCCCCCCCCCCAAGGAGGACACTCTGCCATCATCTTTTCCCCTCACACGATCGAAACACTCTTTGGTACATCAGCGTTAGCAAAAAGGTGCAGAGCCGAAATGTGGCTGGTGAGGACTCCGGTCTGATTGGACCCTACAGGAACATGGCTGGAAGACCCAGTCAGGTTGGAGGCTTCGAGCTGGGATATACTGAAGGCACTGCTGCAGCTGTGTGGCGATAGGATGCAATTCAGGACCGGGGGGGGGGGGAGTCTCACATGGGCCAGCCCAGAAAAGAACGGACAATGACGGAAATCTCTTTCAGTGACAAAACCAACGGCAATAAAATAAGTTATAAAAGGATGGGATTGGCCCATCGGTGGTGAGAAAGATTGAAGCATAGAATCCTTTTTGAGAACATTCAATAATCCAGCACATCTTCCTGCCATGTCAGGCTAGTTAACCAGCACCGTCCACCACCAATCAGACTGATGGAGGGACGCACGGCTAATGCTAATGCTAATCCTAGGGAGTGGTTAATACTGACTGCGACCCCTCCGGGGTTCTGAAGAGCAAGGGCCGCCTTGCTCCTCTCATCTGTCTCGGCGAATGGTAGGAGGCGCCACGGGAGTGTAAACGCACAGCTTTGGAGAGACATTGGCAGATTCCAACAAGGCACATTTAGCTTGCGGACGGATCTCTTCCAGTCCCATCCATCGTGGGAGGGTTAAGCTTCCCTCACCGTGGTAACACTGCGGCAGTCTGACACACGTCGAAATACGGGCAGTTGGCCTCCCAGGTCCTGGCAGGCTCGTGAGGGTGTGCGTCATACCCCCTGAGAGGGGAGTCAGAGGGGGTGGGGCTTATTGTGCAGGGGGCGGGGCTGAACAGAAAGGGGAGGAGCCTCAACACAGGATCTGGGAGAAGGGGTGCCTGAGGAGCTCCTCGGCACTCGGCCGGTGTCTGGCCTCCACAAAGATGCGCCGCACAAAGTCACGCGTCTGCTCCGACGTATGGGACGGCAGCGTGGGGTTGGTGGGCTGCGTGGCGATCTTGAATATGGCGGCCATAGCCTCATACTCTGCCCACGGTGGCTTCTCAGTCAGCATTTCCACCACTGTGCACCCCAAGCTCCTGAGGAGAAGGGGGGGAGGGGTGTCAGAACCATTAAACCCACCCACAACAAATACTTAGAGTAAACTTTCCCCAGCTGCCCCGCATCAGTCAGTCACATGCTGCAAATCCCCTTATATCTTAATATACTGAGATGCAGAAATGAGCTATAAAGTGCCATCCCCTCCGGGTGGGGGGGGGACGACGACATATATTATTTCGGAAAACATCACATGAGCAATGAAATTCAGCAACGTCGAACTCCCAGGCGTTTAGTGAGAACAGGACTGCAGAGAGCAGGCCATTTTATTTTAAGAGCGGCTGGAATGTTTTGGTGGAAACTTTTGCCCATACGCTATTGACAATTAAAGTGTGTTTTTGCTGGCTGCGGGTAGTAACGACACTGCCGGCCCACATGGGGGGGCCCTGTGAGGTCCACTCTGGACCAGTTCCCCCCTCCCCAACTCCCAGGGGCAACAGAGAACTTGGAACATTCCAACCGTAGGAAAGATTTTCCCCCACTTACAGGGACTGGCCCTCAGCCAATGGCATCCCTCGCCTGACGAAACGCCATCCAATCAGATAGCAGGGTAAAGTGAACTCCTGGCTGGCAGGTGGCACTGCTGCCCAGTTAGGCCCCTGAATTACAGCAGGACCCCTTTCACGTTGTTAAAAATAGAACATGTACCACTGCAGTACAGTGCGCTCAATGGCAGCTTCAGAGCACCACTGACAGTGCACATCAGTGCCAGTGTTTATAAACAATGGAAGAAAATGACTGCAGAAAATGCAAAGTGGAAACTATTGAAGAGGAAACACAAAATTGAACTGTCTAGAAAGGTCTGGAAGACTTATCTAAGCAGCATCAGTATTTTACCAAGTGCATCAGAGTGGATGAGAACTCAAGACAGAGACCTCACACCTACAGCATTCTGGGCCCAGACATCATTTTTCCGACTTCAAGCCTAAGGATATGATTTATGTTTGTTTGTACTGGGATTTGTGTCTCTTGTATAATGGCACGTGCAGCCTCTCCCAACACCATGCACTCTATTAGGTGTACTGGAAAGATGAATGAATAGAATTTTAATTGTGCAATTTAAAATGAAACATTTATAAACAGTCATCAATAGGGTGAAGATTTTCCACCACCAGTTACAGGCCATCTTCATGTAATGGATCACTCAGCAGGACCCTCATAGTGCCTACAGGCTGGTCTGCAGACTGTTGCAATTCCCTTACCATACGTCGGCTTTTCTGCCGTAGCCTTCCCCGCTGATCACTTCCGGGCTCATCCAGTAGGGGGTGCCAGTCACGGAGCGGATGCCAGAGCTGGACATGCAGATGGTCTGCAGCCGCTTGCTAGCGCCAAAGTCGCCCAGCTTCACGTTCCCCGCAGAGTCCCGCAGGATGTTGGCACCTAGAGGGTTGAGAGGAGAGAACGTTATGCAGGGAACAGAGACCTCGTACTTGGACAGCGAGCACTTCGAACATGTCAGCACACAAGAATGTTTAATGGCAGCATCAGAGACCTAGAAGATCTAAAAGCAACAGATACAAGATCATGATATTGGTATATTACAGCGTTTCTCAACCCCAGTCCTTGTGGACCCACAGACGGTTCGCATTTTCCTCCGTCCCAGATGCCAGTAAATGGTAAATGGACTGCATTTATATAGCGCTTTTCTACTCCTATGAGCACTCAAAGCGCTATACAATTCATGCCTCACATTCACCCATCTATACCACACACATACACACACACATTCATACACCGGCGGCAAAGGCTGCCATGCAAGGCGCCAACCTGAACACCGGGAGCAATTTGGGGTTCAGTGTCTTGCTCAAGGACACTTAGATGGGTTCAGGAGGAACCGGGGCTCGAACCTGCAACCCTCCGGTTGCCGAATGATAGCACTACCTCCTGCGCTACCACCGCCCCAGTAGGGTAAAAATGGTGGCTGTCCGGGGGGGTCCCCAGGGACTGATATTGGAAATACTGATCTATAATTACCAGAGAGGCATTTACAGATTTCATGACATCACAAAAACCTAGAAAGTCTAACCGTGGAGTTCAAAACAGGCTACGAATCAGAAAAACTCTCGGGACCTTTGATGTCACGATGGACAATCATGTTACTGTGCAGGAAGGACATTCCCTCCAGGATTTGTCGGGTGTACTTCCGGGTCACGTTCTCCGTCAGGGCACCGTAGGCCTTTAGCTGGTCCTTCACCGAGCCCTGAGTAGATGATGAGTATGTTATGTTAATACAAATGTCCTACTTACTGTGCTACACCGCATCATCAATACAGCTGATGATTTCAAAGCAACATTTACATTTCATGCTCTCCGAGAATAATCCCTACCAGGGTTCTGAAACAAAACACCTCCCAAGACTTGGATCAACAGATCCAGATTAGCTAAGTTTCTACACAGGTTATGTGCTGGTAACATGGATGCACATACACACTTCGAGCTGCACCAACACCAGGAACGTCCCACACACCAACACAATGGAGCCCCAACATGAGGGACACACCCCAGGCATGTACTCCATGAAGATGGTGAGGGTCTTCTCCCCATGGTCCCGCAGACAGCCGTAGTACTGCACGATTCGCTCATGGTGGAGATTCTTCAGTAACTGGATTTCACACTCCAGAGCGCTTACCTCCTATGAAAATGGGGAGGGGGGATGGGGGGGGGTGAGTGAGTGACTGTTAGGCCCAGACAGAAGAACTCCTACGCACTCGAAATCAACCATAAAAAGACGAAATGGATGGGGAGTTAAGATCGAGTGAGTAGCGCACTTTGGCAAACTGAGCGGGAGCAAGTAGCAGTAAAACCAGACCACACAGACACAACGTAAAAGAAAACAGAAGCAGAACGAGCCGACAGAAAATGACACACGCAGCTACATAACAGCAGGGAGGCAGACCAGTCACGAATGCAGATACATAGACACGCAAAAAAAACGTACACATCCCCAAGAACATATGCAAATATCAGGCGACGTGGGGGGGGGCACGTTAAATCAGAGACCACACAGCGGCAGAAAACACCACAATGATTCCGATAAAGACTTAATTTATTCGCTCAGTGCACTCACACCTCTCCCCCCAGAACACACACATCTCGACAGCGATGATGGTTGGCTGAACCCCACATGGGTGAATCCTCACTGGGAGCTAGAGGTGGGCGACGTTTCCATTGCTCTACAAATGCGGGCACTCTCCGAAACGCTTCTTCAAAATAGCAGCCGATGCCAAGCTACACATCACATGACAGCTTTCCCTTCGCGCCAGTCTCGGAGTGGGTTGAGCCACTGGCTCATTCCGTGTGGATGAAAAATGTCTGCTAAACCCCCAGCATGAAAACCTGCCAGGCACAACTGACATTTAGATAAAATAACAGATTGGCATCAGGGCAGGAAAGGAGGGTGGGGGGAAGCCAGTGGCAGAGCCCCCCCCCCCCCCGGCTCTCACTCTGGCACAGGAAGTGACATTGCATGTTTTCTCAGTAGTAGACAGGAAACGACTTCGCGGAGGTGGGGGGGTGAGCTACAGAGATCTGCTCATCTCGGCCTCAGTCAAAGAGTAAACAGATCTGGGAAGGAGACAGACACTGATGGAATGTCTGAGGGCCTCACTGGTCTTACTGGATGGCTCACGCCACTCAAAGCCTGAAGTAAAGGCCAAGATTACAACGTCGAACAGCCACTTTCATGTTAATGAAAGAATAAACTGCCTTAAAGTACATCAGACTACTACAATGACGGACCATTAAGAAAAAAGCCAAGGCTATGAGAGAAATGCACTATAGAACAGCTGAACGGAATGGATTCGTAATGCAAATTTACACAAGCAGATGCTAAATCCGCTAGCATTTGATGCTTGCATAACACGGCGATTCGCACAGATGTACTAGCGGAAATTTGCATACACTACAGCACATCCTGATGTACACTGTGTGCACAGCAAATTAGCGTCTCTTTGGTTTCACATCACTGTCACTTTCCAAAGCCAGCGACACCATTACCAAGCTGATCCTTCTGCAGTGGAAACACGGCGCGGTTCCAGCTCACTTTAAACTAGTCTCTCTTCGTGGTACGGCGTGGGTACGGCTCAGTTCCTGTATGTCAGTGGAAACTTGCCAATAGTACCATTCAGAAAGGAGCACAGTAATACCAGACGGCTACAACATAGAACCATTAAGGACCCCAGGATACCAGGCTGCTGCAACATAGTACCACTAAGAAAGAAGCCCTGTACATCAGACCATTAGTCATAGTACCATCAAGCAATGAACCGAATACACCAGACTATAACATAGCAACATTACTAAAGGCAGTATTACCACAGTACTACAACATAGTACCATTAAGAAAGAAGCCCTGTACATCAGACCATTAGTCATAGTACCATCAAGCAATGAACCGAATACACCAGACTATAACATAGCAACATTACTAAAGGCAGTATTACCACAGTACTACAACATAGTACCATTAAGAAAGAAGCTCAGCATATCAGAATACTATAGCAAAGTATCAGCCAACTAACAGCTTTTGGTACAAAACACCCCTAGCAATGTAAGAACATCCGAGTAACAAATAAGGATAAGGTCAGAATAGCTTCGATCCTCATTGGGAAGCTGCCATTCTGTCTGCAGGGGGGGGGGGGGGGGATGGTGAACCATTCTTCAAGTTCTTTAGCCCGTTGAGGAATTCGCACTCCAGAACTTTCCATAAAGGTTCAAAGGCATTTGGATCTGGTGCCTGACGAAGTTTGACTTCATCTTTGAGTTCAGGAAACCTGTCTTTCATTTGTGTAGCAGGCGTGCTATGTTAGATTATAGAAACATCATGAGGGAACAATGTTTGCACCACTGGGTCCTGTGAAACAGCTACTGGCAGTGTCCAAAAAATGCAGAGAAATCACTGGACCCCTTCCTCTGGAAAAGGCCAGCCTCCCATCCCGTCGGAGGTCCTCTGCCACACTTTACAGACATCACGGCATCCTTCAGCTTTCCCCAAACATAAACCTATCCAGAAGTAGAAATATGCAAGACACAACTTCATTGGACCTTACTGCTTTTTCCGCTGCTCAAGGACCCAGGTTTCATGTTCCTCACGCCAGGTTCTCGGTCTGTGTTGGATTTGGATACAAGCAGCTTCTGAACAGCAGCCTTGCTAAGCACCAGCCAATGAAGCCGTCTGGGTTGAGCGTCTGCCCATTGCCGTTGGTGGGCTGCCGCTTCCTGCAGTGTTTCAGTGCTTGACAAATGGCGTCAAAGTTTGACACTGGTCTCTACTCTTTGCGACTCACACGTCTACAATATAGATGTCGACCTTTAACCTCCGCGAGCCACCCTGTGTCACTCTGGAATCTCAGGCCATTTCTTAGGTCACTTACTAGGTACCAGCAAGTAAGAACTTTGACTGGAGCAAAGCGTAAATCCTAGTACAAAACACTTCAGATTCAACATTTTTCAGTCCGGGAATGGCAAATGTAAGGGGATTCGTAGTGAAATCCCGCAATCAATAGTGGAAATGAAAGTGAGGTCCCCAAACTCCTCAGGTCAAAAGGTCAAAGGGTACCGCAATAGCCATATCTGAGATAAAGGCACAAGAGTTTTCAACTTATTTGGTATCAAAAAATAAACTTAACCCTAACCTGGCCAATTTTCAGTTTACACCGGTTCCAGGTCTTACTGTTGCTAGTCATTCAGCCTGAACACGACTCACCTGTGCAGCTACCTGTGATTCAGTATCTGCAGTTACCCTTTGTTCCACACGGTGTTCTCACACACACAAGATGGCCTCTGCCATCGCCTCACCTTGCTGGTCTCTGGACTGTCAGGGTCAAACTGGACCTGCTTGGCCGCCAGCTCCCGGCCGGTGTCGACGTCGTAGCACAGATACACCCTCCCGAAAGCCCCCTGTCCCAGAAGCTTGCCACGCCTCCACGTCAAGGGGGCACTAGGGGCTGTAGAGAGGGGACAACTAATCAATTAAGGAGGCCAACAGAATTCTTAACTCCAGAGGGTGATGGGGTAATCAATGTCATTGATTCACAGTGGCTTAATTAATTGCCAGTTAATTTCAGTACATGCATGCACATGACGCTACAAAAACAGCACTGTGCAACCTTGGATGGTGCACTGCCTTCTATCAGTGTCCTTCAAGACACTGACATGTAGGAGAATCAAACTCCTGTGTCCTCAGCACATTTAGAATTCTCGGATTTGATGCAATCGGGTCACATGTTTAAGGAGCCGTTTAAGTAAAACAACCAATGGGGTTTCAGGTCACTGCCCTGGCATAGCACAGTTAAAACCCTGCAGCAATAGACAAGAGCAGAATATGTAAAAATCGGTATTTGTTTAATGTCAGTGAAAAGAGATCTGGCCACAGATCTGACTCACACTTGTGGGGCACGGTACGGTCCTGGGGCCGAAGTCGGCCCTTGGCGTCCAGCTGCCAGCCGGAGCCCAGGCTCTCCTCGCTGCCATTGAGGGTTCGCCTTGATGGCACCAGGGTGAACAAGTTGCCCTGGGGGCGACGGATCCGAGGGAAGGTACCCCGACCTGGGGAAAGAGGGGCGAGAGGCAGGTAGACGAGTCAGTCTCAGGTCCTAAGAGTGGGACATGAAGCCTGCGTTTCAAGCTCCTCCACCAGCTAACCGAAACATGTCGTACCCTCGGCATGGTCCTTGTGCTGGAGCGAGACGTGGTATCTCCGGGGATAAGTGCCTCCCTTTCCCACCACCTTGTCGTACATGTGGTTTTCACGGTCTGCAGCGGGAACAGGAAGGGGCGGGCTGTGAACTTAGGCACGACGTGGGACGGTATAGTACGGTACCGGACTCCGGCACTAGGGGGCGCCTACCCGAGAGGTCCTGCCGGTTATCCGGGTAGCTCTTGGCTCGGTACATGCGAGACTTCCTGAGCGATGGGCTGTGGGCATAAGGCAGGGGGGGTCAGGACTCTGCACCAGCCACTTTCTAACTTAACCGAGCCCCGAGGACCAGGACTCACCTGTCTGAGTTGCTGTCCAGGGACTGGCAGCTGCCCGACACGGAGTTCTCAGCACTGCTCCAGGGGTCCAGGACCTGGGGGGGGGGAAGGGGGACAAACAGAGGGAACATCAACGAACCAGAGTTTAGCTACCAGTGTCCGCCGCATGTTTTCTCCCCAGGTAAAAATCTGCATCTTCACATTTTAGGGTTCCTCAGCTCAGAATTCCATTAACTGCACAAAACCAAGGGCAACTAGCCCCAGTATCGTTCCGTCATGCGACACAAACGTGTGACTCTCATAAGCCAGATTTGACCGCCTACGGAGAAACCTTGGTGTAAACAGCCCACATTAGGCTGCGGAGAAAACTACTGTCCAGTCCGGATTATGATCAGAGTCCGCCTATGCAATATCTGTGCCAGAGTTCTATAGTACAGCTGGGGCAACGCTGTAGAGATCTGTAGATTGGGAGACTTGAAATATCTGTCATACACCGCAATGGGGCTGCATGCGGCAAATCGGCGTGCGAAACAGCGAAAGACCAACCGGGCAGTTCTGAAAGCAGCTCATTTCCCAAGCACACACTGCGCAAAGCCTTAATGAGCGCCAGTGAATTATCAGCCTCTGCCCCGGCCTGATAATGAAGTCACACTCAACTTGCTGCCCCCAGTTAATCAGCGCCTCTGCACACTGGGGCGTTGCCTTTTCCGGCCATG